AGAGTGTGCGTCGGTCGAATGATTCCGAACTGGTAGTTGACTGCTGGTCTAAAAAGAAACAGGCAATATCTGACCTTGGGATGTAAAGAGATAGAAGTTCACGCCAGGCCGTCAATTTTAAGCTAAAAAAACGCAGAGATGTTTTATCGTAAAAATGGTTTTCTTCCCAAAATCATTAAAAAAACTTTTTTAAGATCTAAAATCTTATTTTTTGAGCTTAGAGTTGACCAGGTTGCTTTTACAAGGGACGCAATTTTCAAAAAAGGCAAATTTATTTCTTTTTTTGAATACTTGAATTTGAAAACCAAGTTCTTGGTATACATTACCCTCTTCCCTCAATATAAATAGGCATTGAATAAGGGTAAACTGTCACAGGGCAAAATCATTTCATTCCAGTTACCTCTCAGTGATTTGACCTTGATGCTGAATTGACCCCCTGATCACTCAAAGGGTCCATTTTTGACCGACCAACCATAAAATATATCTTAAGGCGCTTTCGGCGTAAATATACACTAACATTGGAGGCGGATCGCGCCGCATCTGACAAATAGGGTATAATAGGATTTTCGAATAGCCGAAATGCAATTTGGTCAATTAAAAAAACAAGATTTCGAAATATAGCGACCGATTAATTGTTAATATTGCTCGCGGGGGGGGGGGGGGCTTGTCAATTGTCAGCTTGCATTGCTACAAAAATAGTTCAACATCATTTATAGTAAGGGTGTTTTTGAAAATGAAGTAGTGTTCCTTGAAGTCCCAGATAATTTCGAAAGAAAATTAAATTTTTTGCGTCAGTTTTGGCTGGTGCATGCGTGGGGACTTTTTTAAAAAGATGTAGCGATTTTCTTACCATTGCTGGCTTTTGTGTTGGGCATGGCTGTGATATGTCATGTGAGATGATTATGATGTCTGCGATGTAATTTAGCTAATTTACTTTGCGTAGCTCAGTAAATCAAATCGACGACTTAATTGTTTTTTGTCTATCTTGACACCGGAGTTACAAAGCATTGAAGTTACTTCAGACACAGATCTCAACTGGTGTTGAACGAGGCTGAGTGTTCAGCTCAAAATAAACAGTTGATAAAAAGTCTTGTGAACAAATTAAGAGCCGATGCATTTTATAACTTTTTTTTTTGGACCTAAAGTTCGCATCAGTTACTTGTCAAATATCAAATCACATACCCGCTCTGATGCTTTATTGTGAAGGTCTAAAAAGTGTTAGTAGCAAAACGGTCCACGCGTGGGCTGCTTTTAAGGGCCCATTGGTATATTGTCTTTTTAAGCAATTAAACTGGGGTAAAAAGAAAGAAAATCTTGTTAACTATTTCCTCCCCTATTGCAATAGGGGGCCAATTCGTTATATGGTACCTTAGGGTAGTAAATTGTTAACAAGATTTTGATTTATTGGCGGTTTGAGTTTTGATTTTTTTTTCAGGTTGAGTTCATTCACTTTGTTAAAAGGAAGGCAAACTCCACTATCGGTCATAAAAAGTATAAGGTCACAAAAGGTTTTTCAATTTGAATTTTTTCCGGCGTAATCAAAACTATACTTGTTGATCCTCTTTTCTCAAATTGAGTTAGTTTATAAAAAAGTGTAATTCACAAACTTTTCTTGAAATTCAAAGAGCGTTAAGGCCATATTTTTTCTAATGTGAAGTTTAAATGTTTTTTTTTGTGTTTCCTTGTCTTCATTGACTTTTTCCAACTGTCTGTTGGCCATGTCTCTGAACGCTCAGCCAAGTTGATCGTATTTGTAATGAAACGAGCGATTGAATCCAAAACTTCTGAAGCTGAGAAATTTGAGAAGATCGTACACATACAGCTCATGAACTGTTAAGATTTTGTGTTCTCTAAACCTTTCCCTAATACTATCAAATTTCCTTACCTTGTAAATCATTCGAATTATTTTTTTCTGCAAAAGGAAAATTGGATTGAGATTCGAGAAGCTCGTTCCCCCATATACAAGTAATCCATATTGTATAATGGGTTTGATGTTGTAACAATAATATTTTATAAGCACATCTATCGGTACAAATTTTCTCATTTGAGCAATAACTCCACAATGCCTTCCTAGTTTCGGTGTGTTGTAACATTTTTCGCCAAAAAGCTTTCCCAGTGTTGATAAAAACCTGTTTGAAATTTTGAGTTTTATCCTATTTCGAGTAAGTAGAGCAATCGAGTAACGTTTGCTATATGGAAATTGGTCATTTAGGCTGAAAACCTTATTTTAAGGGCGTTTAAGAGGCTCATTTAGCTCTGTTCTGGCAAAAAAAAAGTTTTCTAAAATTAAAATTTATTGCAATTTTTTTTTTCATTTTGAAACATATTTTGTCTGCTATTCTTTTTTTGAAGATTTCAATTGTCGATTATGCCTAATTCGCTTAAGTTCAACGCATTTGTATAATTCTCTCATCCCACTACTCACAAAAAACGACACTAATTTGAAAAGGAAAACTCGTTTTCTATGTAGTTTTTTCGTGTAGGCAAACATTCTCCGCTGCAGCATAGAGGGCTGCTCTTCCATTTTACAAAAGCAAATTGGAGAAGAGTTGTAGAAATAGGAATGGCACAACGATTTAAAAAAATCATTTAAGTTCTATCAAACAGTATAGATTGCCATTTCTATTGCCCTTGCCCCCGGCGATGCTGATATGTTTGTGCTGGAACCATTTTGTTCTACTGCCCAGTCTTGTTTCCCGGCATTGGATACTCCCGGACTACCTGTCCCTGGAAGTCCATTCCTGGAACCATCCCAGGAGCTAGTCTTGGGCAGGGTTAAAACCATGTCAAAGCCTTGCAGGGATTGCCCTGGGCTTTCTGGATCGGGGCTGGTCCAGAGCTGCAGATTTAAATCCGTAGTTAAATAATTTTAAGCAAACATCCTTGTTTTCCTGGCCAGGTTCCTGGATGACTCCTGTCAGAAAGTCCATGATTGCCCCGGACTCTACGTTTCTGACATGAAGTCTAATATATTCCCCTGGCTATGTAACGCGGGTTTCGAAGCAGTATGGACTGCCGCTTTTATCCTAAATTGACAATTGAAACTGCTTATTGAAGTATCCATTTGAAAGCAATTTGAGAATGTAAACAAAGGATTTCAAAAAACAAACACTGGGCATCAAATTTGTATGGGATGTGCTCATCCTTCTGTAGCAAGTTTCGACAACCTGTAGAAAATTGGTTCACTAGAATTACCGCCGGGAAATTTCGGTCAGCAGGCCAAAAAAACCAAGTGCAAGTGGCCGATTGCTTAAGGGTTTGTCAGAATAACGCCAGACTTATGGAACTCAAAACAATTAAAACAAGTTTTTAATCAATTTGAATCATAATTTGCAATTCTTTAGAAGCATTCGATGCTCAAGTCATTGATCTAAACCTTTCTTTTCTTTTCAAATGTATGTTCAGGAAAGCACCAATCTGTTTAAATTTTGTAGGTATCTGTAGAGTTCCTAGAGGTCTCTCATTGTCCCTTATCATTACTTTTTTTAGGTTATTAGTTGTTGCAGCGTTTTCTAACCCAGTTTGCCAATATTCTACGAACAATGATTTTACGAATCACAAGAGAACTTTCGTAGATTCGAGTAACGTGTTTGTTATTGAAGCCTTTCTAGTTGATACTTGAATTGGTTTTCGTTCCGACCACTGGAAGTGGCAATGAAATTTGTCTTCGGCTGTGTTTCAATTTTTTTTTTCAATCAACATCAGGTACCAATCAACATCAGGTTCCAACAAAGTTTTTTTCCGCAAACAACGTTTTTTTTTACAAATTTTTCTTTTCTCTGTTCACCTCTTCTTTTCGTTTCTTCTTTTAACATCTTCCAACTTCCTTCCCCATGGCTTAGGGGCAACGCCGCCCGTCGTTTTTTCACTCTAATATTTTGGAGTTTTAGTCTCGTCCGGACCTTGTTTTTTTTCAGTATGTATGCATATAAAAAAGTTCGGTAAGAATTGAATAGTCGGACTTTCGTTTCCCCGCTCAAGTGATGTCGGCTAAGTTGCCCCATCACAAATTTTGCTCGTAATGTAACTATTTTTCATTGGAAGTACAACCGTTGTTCATTATAGTTTCAGTGTGGACTTCAAACCTTAACGTTTTTTCTTTTATAAAACGATGTTTTTTTGCTCAACTTGTGTCTGCTTAAAAACCACCTGCTTTGTTTTCTCTTTGTAAATTTGTTTGGTTTCTATTTTAATATTTAAATATCTTGCATGTTTGCCTAGAATGAACTTCCATCGCGAGAGCTACGAAATTTTAATGGTCCTAGTTTTTTTCGATTTTTTCTTTTACCTTTTTTGTTTTTAATGCTTGTGTTGTATCGCAAATGGCGGGAAGCTTGGCTTCGCCTCTGTGTTTATCCTTAATGTTTGTAATGTTTGTCAAACGTGATTAAATTTTCATAAACATGAAGTATGCCTAAGTTTTCGACTTTCGCTGAAATCTTCTCTTTGCACGCGAGGTCAACTTTTTTTGTTATTGTGTTGGGAACTTCGTTATATTTGTGCAGCAACCGGGTGTCCTTGTTTAATGTGTTTTCTTTTCTCATTGCCAAAAACTTAAGAAAGATTGGGGTCGTCAAAATTGAAAGTTGAAAGCATCGTGTTTTCAGTTGTTTAATTTAAGTAATTCGCATTTTTATTTTCCAGCATGGAAACTTTTGAAATTTTGTTTTGACGAGAAAAAACTTCAAAAATAAAAGGAATGATAAGGTTAAAACGCCGTCTTTCAAGATTCGGAAGTCGTTTTAGCCCATTTCTTGGAAGACGATTAGCAAAACATTTACCGCTACAGATAAATTTTGTGTCCTACTCTAAATTATTTCTCCTATTCGAAATTAACTCTGTTGATGTTGTTTGTAATTTTGCGAATTCGATTTGTTCAAATTCTTTTCTTGTTTTCCCCTTTTTTCGGCTTGTTAGGTTTTGGCGTATATTTTATCGGCTTTGTATTCAAATTTCGTTATTTCCATCATCTTTTGACGAGCGGAAATTTTTTTGTGAGCATGACTTGTGAGGGTGAGTGGACTTAATAATTTTTTCTTGATCCTAATTTTTTTGAATTTGTTTCGGCTTTTGTTCGTCTTGATTGGTCTCAGCCTATATTCTGTCGGCTAAGTGGCCTCATATTGGGTCATTCGACGAGCTGTGTGCTTTGTGTGTGTTTTAGTGGTGAGGGCGATTAAACTTTTTAATAGTTCCACATTTTTTTGATTTTCTGGCTTTTTTCCCTTTTTTGGCTTAGTATGTTTCGGCCAAAATTATATCGGCTTAGTGGCTTTATATTGTTTCATTTGATGCGCAAATAAAGTTGTGTGTGTGTCATTAAGGGTGTGGGGGACTTTGTACTTTGTGTTTTTTTTTCTGCTGAAAGGGTTTCTGCTCAGGTATTTTCGGCTTTGTTACCGCTTGATAAATTGTTTTTTGATCTTATTTCACATTCTGTTGTCTTGGCAAGTTTTTGTTTCAAAACTAGACTTATTCTTTTTGATTGTTCTAGATTTTTTGACTTTCTCTTTTCGACTGAGCGGCTTTCCTGTTTTGTATCGCAAGTGGTGCGAAGCTCAGCTTCGCCGCTGTGTATATTTAGTTCTCACGGATGAAGGGAAAATGCGAAATCGAAATAAATCGAAAAATTTCAAATTGTAGTTCCTCGTTTGACACCAAAGAATTTCTGCGTTTCAGTCTCCTCTCTACTTGGGCTTCACCATTACTTCTAACTTTTTTTAAAAATTGATATATTTTTTTTTACTTTTTTAAAAAGCAATAAGCATATTATGTGCTGCCTAATCAACATCTGAAATCTATTTTTAGTTGTTATTTTTTGTGAATTGACCCAGATCCATTTTTTTATCGTTTTAATTTTTTCATCGATTCCAGAAGTTGATTTGCCTCTAATTTTATCCTCATTCTAAGCAAGTCGCTCTGTTAAAAATGTACTGAAATCACACCTAAATAGAAGTCAAATAAAACTAAAAACTGCGATCTGTGCTTCATTGAGAAGTCAATTTCAAATAGAAGCAAAAACGTCAAGTTGATACGCAACGCTTGTCCTTCAATCGGTATACATTTTTAAAGCAATTTTTTGACAAGCAATAATGCTTTTGCTGAAACTGTTTCTTATGATTTAACGCAAATAGAGTTTCTTATGATTTAACGCAAACAGAGTTTCTTTAGTTACTGTCAATCTGGGATTTTTCATTTGAAAATGAGTAAGTATAATTTTCTATCTTATCAAAATTTTTGTCACTTTTTGTCGAATAAAGATCTATTTGTTGAACGATGAGCGTATAGAATTTTTAAGAAATCCGCGCATAACTATTGTTTCTTATACAGTGGGGTACCATTGGCGACTCTGTTAGTTTTCCAATATAACTACTTGTTCGATACATTTTTGAGGTTTTTGATTTGATCACTATTGAATTGCAAAATATGGACTCTGCTGGGGGGGTCCAAATTCAGATGAAGTATGTCATGTGAAAAGAAATTGCATGAGTAATGGGCACCAAACTCACATACCAAGTTTTTAAGGATGAACTAATTTTTCAAAAACTAATTGTGTCAAAAATATGGGACCTCTGTATGTATATTCCCCCTTTTGCAAACGGGGGATATTCGTAACTAGGTAAAATTCTTAATGGTTAACCGTTGATTTATTTCTTTATAGGGGGGATATTCGTTACTGCTGGTAGGTACCCGAGGGGGGATATAGTTAAATATATCCAAAATACGTCTCATGAAATCTAAGACATGACCATGACGTATTAAATTTTACCGCTGCCGTTAAAATAACTGTTCTTATTGTTAGTGGCTTTTAATCAGGCCACTTTTGTCGAATAGGAAGGAACAATGTGGATTTCGACTACTTCCACCTGATTTCGACTACCTCAATAAGTCTTGTGCGAGGTCACTTCTAGAACCTTATGTTGAAGCGTTTTAAATTGTGATTTGGACTCCAAAAAGATCTCAATATGTAGCATCAGATTCGAAAAAATTGTTCCAAAATTTTCTGTTATTCGCCTCTTTTCAGCTTGCGCTTTCCCCTCAAAATTAGTAAATATTGGCGCCGAAGGCACCTTTAGAAGAATTTTACGGTACGTCAGCCAAAAATGGTTTTCTCAAAATAGTACAAAGGGGGGACCCTTTGGGTCAGCAGGTGGTCGAAAACCGAGGGGATGGGGGTGGAGAGGCTTCTGAGCCTTTTTCCTTAATCCGCTACTTTGTATGATTTTTTTGTATTGAGGCTAAATTGTATGATTTTTTTGACATACTATTGAGAAAATTATTAAGATACCAATTATCTTCTACTGCAATTTTTTTTAGCATTTTGCAATATTATCTCTCACTGTTGCATTTTTTGCCTATTTGATGGTGCCTCTTTACTGGAAAAAAGATAACAAAGATACTCGGACCTAAAGAAAAACTACAGTAAATGATTCCGCTGTAAGTGATGTCAGAGAGATCTCTGTACCAAATTATTAAATAAAAGTCAAATTTGTATTTCAAAAAAACTATGCTCGCAGGTAAGCAGACAATTCCGCGCAAGAAACTGTCGGAGCGGGACATCTTCGACTCGAAAGGACTGCCCAGACTAGGTCTGATCAAAAGCCACATGAAGCAAGAGGGACGTCTGTCTGAGAACTGCGCTCTCAGAATCATTAATCAGACTGCTAAAATGTTCGCGGTAAGTTGACTTATCATACATGTTTGACACCATCATAACCAACAAACCAAGATAGAAGTGTTATGACGTGATCCGCTATTATGTACCACAGGAAAGTTGTAGCTCAGAAAGCAAAGCACAGAAGAATTGACTAACTTTAACCAGTAAGGTCATTGGTGGATTTTAAGATAGTGCTACATCTGTTAAGTAATGATAGGTAAGTATTTTTTCCAATCATGTCCATTTAAGAAAAAACTTAAATGTCCATTTAAATTTTAGTTTTTAAAAAATGTAAATTATGAGGCCAGTCAATGTATATGAACATTTTCAATTTGATTCGAGCAATTGAAACAAAAAAAAAATTGCCAGTGCGAGATTCGGACCTACGCCAAATGATATATTTTACTTAAGTCAAAGAGTTTCTCATTTCAGAGTTCCGCGGCAAAAAAAAACAACCTTAGTAATTTTTTCGTGAAGGCTTGCTCGAAAAAAATGCTTTTGATTTCTCTGTTCCAAATTGCAAAAAGTACTCAGCGTTGATGAAAAAGTGCTGAAAAACAGAATCAGAAAATTCAAATTGCGAAAAAATTTTAAATAGATTCGGAACAATTGAAAATGATACCAATAATTTTATAATTCTCTTGAACTATTTTAATTTAAATTTTAATTTTTTTTAAATGGACTTCACTCGTTTTTTTTTTCAGCTTATGTTATCCAAGAAGACACTTGTTTGATGCTGAGGCCGTGTATGTTTTTTAGTAGATAGCAGCTACAACATTTTGCATCGAGAAATGTAGTAACGCATTGTCACGCAGTGCGGAGAAGTAAACAGATGTTCAGAGATTTTGTGAAAGCTGTTAGTTATCTGGTTTGAAACACATGTGAAAAGCACGAGCAAAACACAAACTTTTGAAAAAAATTTCACGCTGTCACATATTTTTCATGTTTTATGTCTTTGTGTTTACACTTAATTGCGAAACGAGTGTATTAGTACGAACCTTCATTTTTTTCCAACCTAAGTCGCAAATATTGGTGCGGCACCCCAATTAATTTGGAGCACCTTTACAGTTTTTTGATAGCATGTGCTGTGACATTCGACTTTAATAAGTTAACACAGTTGATGGATTTGTAATTCATCAAATTAACCGAAAAAGTTATTTGTTTCAAACGACTCAAAAAAATGAAAACTCGATTGCAGAAATTTTCTAACTCAATATATCTTGCAATTTTTTGAAATGCATAATTTATACATAATGTGGCTCTATGCTTTGAGAATTGCTGCAAGCAAAGTTAGTGTGGATGCCTTCGTTTTGTTGTATTCCAAATTATTACATGCAAAATTGAGTCTATTTGTATTTGATGCCCTTTTTGCTGAATTGCATTGGCATGTTATTAAGGTCACAGATTGGGATCATACATGTAGCCGAGTTTTTGCTAATTTGAGGCCTATTTCTACTTTTTTTAAATTTCACTTGATAGAGCTGCTTTTTGGCCGTGTTCTCGCAAGTGTTTGCGAAGCGCAGCTTCGCCTTTGTGTTGATTATTCTAAGAAAAATATTTTACTAAATTTTCGATTATGGCATGGAAATATACGGCACACACGTGTTTTATGCAAAAAAAAATTGCAACATTTGATCTCGATCAATTGATTTTTTTTGCGGTTTGACTTCTAACTAATTTTGAATTTTTACGATCAATTTAAATCCAGTTGCTTAAAAAAGCAACTTGCTCTCTAATTACAAACGTGTAAATGGCGCGGAAAATCCTGAAGGTTTCGAAAAAAGACCTTAGGTTATAGATTTCCCAGCAAAAAAGTTACCTAATGATCCAGTGTTTAAATTCGATGATCAAAGTTAGGCTTTTTTCCAGTCCCCCCTTTCAAAATACCGAGTTTTATATATTTTTTACGTGTTATTACGGCTAAATGCGTGATGCTACGCTGTAAAGTATGAAGAATAAACTTGTTCACAATTGTCGATTTGTTCACCACGCCAAATTTCATTGCAATGCGAAAATGTTAAATAAGTTTTTCAAAATTGGATTTGAAGGGGGAAACTGGAAAAGAGCCCAAAGTGAATGTTTAGAAATACGATAAACAGTGAACAAGTCACAAAAAGTCACAAATTTTTAAAAGTCACGAAATGCGTGATCAACTTCTAATTGCGAAATTTTCATTTTCAGATTTGCCAGCAGAATAAATTTTCCAATTTTGATTCAATTAATCAATTTTTTCTAGTTTCATTGAAAAGAACCAATCATAAAAAAAATTTCACAATTAAAAAGCTCCAAGGATAAATTTTTTAAAATTTGAACATCGAAATTTTTTTTCTACTAAACAACTCAGAACTTTTTTGTTTTCTTGCGTTATTGACGCTTTACCAGCTGTATAATGGCTTTTTTGTCATTCGCTCAGTTTCTGAAAACAGTGACAATTGAAAACTATTGAAACTGAAAAACCCTAAGCTTCATTTTTTTCTAATTTTTTGTTTGAAATTGGGAGTCCGTTTATTTGAGTTCAATGACAATTTTTCAACTTTCTGATGAACATGTTTTCTATTTTTTTGCGGCGCGAAACTCCAGAAGTTCCAAACCAAGCAATTTACACTAAAATTGAAAATGTTTTCAGTAATTTTCTGCAATCATGCAGGTAACTGATATTACAAGATTCAATTTACTCACTTTATTTTATTCTGTTGAAATGATTATTTTTGTTTTCTGTTTTTTTGATGCTTTAGGACATTAACGAAAGAGTTTTGTCATCAATTTTTTTCAAAACACTCCCTAAATTTGATTGCATTTGTTTGAATTTTGATTTGCTCAATACCAAATTTTTTGTGTTTATTAATGAGTTCGAAAATGATTCTAACTGTTTTGATCTACTTGTCCCGGAAAGTGAAGCAACATGCGTATTAACAAGCTCCTCGATCACTTCTTTGCCAAGCTTGCGTTTTGAAGACAGCTATTAGTGTTCATTGTGCGTTATCGTTCCCAATGATGTTTTTCTTAATACTTCAAAAAATTTAAAATTTGAATATCGAGATCTGAAACCACTGAAACAAAAATCGACCTGTTGTTGAAATTACTGCTTGTTTGGACCAAAAAAATTAAGCAGAGGTTTTGTTTTGTTAGTGAAAGTGAGAAATCTATAGCACTTATTGCGCAAACTCTTTTGCAAGCTTTCGCTACGTTTGCTACGTAAAGAAAAGTTCGAAAAAGCCTATAAATTTGTTACCAAAAGAATTGTTTAAAACCTGTCGAAAGCGAGGTATAACGCAGTAAAATTAGTAGCCTATCCACCAGAGGAAAATATAAAGACATTTTCCTACTGAAAAATAATGCAAAATCAGCAACCCGTTTTCAATTTGTTTGTTTTGTGACCACAATTTCTACAAATTTGCTGAGGCTTCCTCGAAACTATTTAAAATGTTTTTTTTTTAAATCCAGAAAACATCAAAATAGTCTGACAGTCGACTTATTGAATTCCAGCACTGAAAAAACGTGGCTTCAGTGGTTTACCAGGGTATGTTGGAGTTGTTTCCTGATTATTTCAAAATAGCAGAATTTTGTAATTTTTCTAAATGAAGGAAAAGAATGATGCAATTAATAGTTGAGCCAGCAGATAATTAACAAGTTTCTGCTATATTTTTGACGAACTTATTTATGAACGGTTGTTATCCGTTTCGACTAAGAACAATATTCTTTCATTTAATTTGGTTTTTGGAAAACACACTCATGTCTGCATGATATCACAAATAAAACAAAAAATGTTCGAAAGCTAGAAAAAATATTACGTCTATGCCTCTTTCGTAGACCTGAAGACGGCTTTCGATGCGGTTAATCAAAATTTTCTTGCCGAAAAACTGTATTTGCAAACTTTCGGTTTCTGCGGGTATTTTAGCTCTTTTTTTAAAGAAATACACCAAAAATAGAAAACAAAGGTCTCAAAAAACTCAATTGATTTCATTATTCAAAAAGAAAACTTTTGGGGTAACTCAAGGTTCAATATTCGGATTTCGGAATTCTTTTTTCTGCTTTACACCACCGTATCATTTACAGCTGATCTTCTACACCATAAGGAAATGACACTTTTTGCGAAACAATTACGGTAGACAGTGATCCACGAAAATTTCGAACTTTAAAGCCAGCTGTTAGAGGAAGATGACGGGTGTAAAGCTAATCAACTGACTATAAACACAGGAAATCTAAATTGATTGATTTTTAGGACAAATTGCAGTGGTAAACAACATTTCAAATTAGGGGATATATATCTTATATATTAAATTAAAGTCGGATTGCGCTTTGGACGCTATGTTTAACTGAACGCAATGTTTTAGCTTTTTCAAATGCAACGTTTAAACACTTCTTCAAACTTTTTCAAATGCAAAAAAGTCTTTAGGCTGAACGTTTAGGGTTAAGGGTATTGCAATCGGGTACTAGATTTTTTCCCTAAACAATTTGGTCCACAGGACTCATTGGACTCCTGTTTGTACCTTGGCTTATAATGAATTCCAATTTGTAGTTTTTTTTGCACACTTAGCCTGGTGGTAACGAATACGCCTGGGACGGCAAAGGTCAATAGTTCAAATCTGACAGTTTTTTTTAAAACGGTAACTGTTCCGGTTCAAAAAGTTCCGGTCTGCTTATGTTTTGTCGGCTTAATTGTCACATCTTAAAATTGTTCATTTTAGCTTTCAGCAATTTTCACTGCGGTTAATTTTAGTATGTTAATAATCTGGCTGAGTCGAAAGTTGCTTCTCATTTTGGTGGTAACTTTACCTGCTTAATTATTAAAAATTTCGCTTTTTTGGCTTTTTATAGGCTTAATAATCCGGTTAAATTAATATTGACTTTGTGGATTTTTAACGCATCTTTACGTCCGAAAAACTTTTTTGTGCGCGTGAATGTTCTCAGAGGGAAAAAGAGACTAAACTATTTTTTTAAGTTTAGAATAATTTGAATTTCTTTTCGGCATGAAGGGTTTCTGCTCAGCTTTTTCGGCTTTGTTACCGCTTGGTAATTAAAAATTCACATCCAATCAATCATTCGCCGTATCTGGAGTAGAGGTAAAGCAGCTGAATGAGACAGCAAAGATTTGCCTTTCGAATCCGGCCGGGCCCCTTTTTTGCAAACTAGAGCTTTTGTGCTTTTTCGGGTTATCGTCGGTCTGTTTATTTTTGTTGGCTTAGTTCCCGTCGCTCGATGACTCAAGCTTTTTTCCAAGTTGCTGTAACCGCCATGCTCGCCAAAGCCCGGGATTTCGAATCCAGTTGAGACCTGTTTTTCTTGCAAATAGAAATTTATGGCTAATTTAGATTATTAGTTGTCTGCTTTGCTCCGAAGAAAGGACTTTTTAAAACTTGGCTTCTGTATAGCATTCCCAAAGCTCTTTGCAGGCAGTTTTGTTCCAGATATTTTGGGCTTTTGTTGCAATTTTGTTTGACAAAAGCGATTTTTTGAGTTTTTTCAGTTTGATTTGCGGTTTACTAATATTTTTGTCGCAAGTGGTGCGCAGCTCAGCTTCGCCTCTGTGTAATTTTATGCACGTTCAAACTAATTTGCTCTCCATTTTTTGTGTAAGTTTTCCTCTTGTGGTGCTATTTGTTGGGCTGCACAGCCCGTATAGTTACTTATAGATTTTACATTCCTGATTGTAATGTTTCTTTTGTATCGAATCTAAACTTTATAACAGAATTTGGGGGAAAAAAGTTGCCGATTTTTTTGTTTGTCGCAAATGATTGTTCGCCCGGTTTGCGTTTTTCAAGCTAGAATTTTTGAATCATAAGTTCGTCAGAGAGAAGCTAGATTGTGGATACTATTGAAATTTGTTGAAATTTTTTTTCTCAAAATGTAAAATATGTCGCAGTTTTACAATCAATTTCTTGCGCCTTAGCATATTTTTCTCATGCTCAATTTGCCCTGTCTTCAACTTCCTTTTTGTGTTAAGACTGAGCCGACATTACTGCAGGTGACAGCCCCAGTGATGGTAGTGGGGGACATACATGGACAGTACTATGACCTGCTGAAGCTTCTCACCATAGGGGGGAGTGCCAGTGTGAACAAGTACCTGTTCCTCGGGGACTACGTAGACAGGGGCATGTTCAGCATAGAGTGTGTGTTGCTACTTTACACAATGAAGATTGCATATCCCAAACATGTGCTGCTTCTCAGAGGTAAAAAAGATACTTTGACACCCCTCTGTAATAACGTAGTAGTTTAATTGGGAGCCTTGATTTTGTTGATATCTTTTTTTGGTACACATTGATTTTAACCAAAGCTATTTTTATCTAAGCGTGACAACGGACACTTATTTGAAAAATGCGCTGAAGTCACACTTTATAGAAAAGTAGTCTCAAATTTGTGTTTTTTGATTCCCTGAACACGTCAAAAATCTCGATCCTAGTTTAATCCACATGGCCACTAATCAACAATACTTCAACTATCCTATCTAAAATCCAAAACGGTACGATCAAAAAAGATTGTTATTTGCTGTTAGGAAACCACGAAAGTCGACATCTGACTAAAATTTTCACCTTCCGTGAAGAATGTCTGTGCAAGTACAGTGAGACAGTGTACAAAGCATGTATGGAGTCGTTTGACACGCTACCTCTTGCGGCCATAGTGAACAAACAGTTCTTCTGTGTGCACGGGGGACTATCCCCCCATATCAAAGACGTGGCAGAGGTTGAGAAAATCAACAGGTTCCGAGAACCCAACAGAAGAGGTTGGTTGGCGTACCTTTTGTGGCCTAAAATAGTCTTGAAATCAATTTCGTTACTCAAAACAAAAAACCACATCAATCTAGAAAATAAAAATACTGGGATCGAAAATTATTCAAAATTAATCAATATTTAATACAGTATCCATGCTATTTTGTGGCCTAAAATTAGGCTTGAAAGTAATTTCGAGAGTGAAATCAGTAAATTAAATCAATCGAGACTTTTTAAATTACTGGGATCGAAAAGAAATTATTAAATCAATTGTTATTAATACAGTAACAATGCTATTAGTGTGTCAAGACTATTTGCCTCAGGACAACTGGCCCTATGCCAACTTGCCCTAAACTAAATTGCCCTAAATAAAAACTTTTCCTTATGCCAACTTGCCCCATATCACAACTTGTCTTATGCCGTTTTGTCCTAAAATTAACACTCCTAGTTAATTATTTGATGTTCAAATGGATTTATGTATAAGACCAGCAAGTGCTAGTAGTAAACTGAGTTCGTTTTGAGAAGGGAAGGGAAAATGACTCACAATCGTTTAAATTGGGCCTCAAATATCATCATCATCTTAGCCATAAATTTTGTCAATTAAACGCAAAATTGTGAAAACTATCCGCAATTAACGCTATTGAAACAGAACAAAATGCTAATGTTTTTGTTTTGCGTCATTGTATAAATATTTTCTTTGCAAAATTACAACTATTATGAGTCAAATTACCTGGGGACTTTCTCAACGAAACAAGCGAACAACGGACACAACTTCACAAAAAAGCAAACAACAAAAACAACTGAACACTTGAGATCCGCGCGATACAGTTCCCATAAGTGCCGAATACTCGCGCTGTAACAGCTGGAGTTGAACTGGTTTCTACCAAAAACGAACATAGCCACGGTGTTAGACCGGGAAAAGTTGAAGCAAACAGGATCATGCATCAAATGAAAAAAAGAGGCAAAGAAGTAAATGGTACCTGTTAAAAGCAGTATAATTGCCACTTGTCTCCAGGAAGCATCGGACGAAAAAACAGTTCAGTTGTCCTTGCCCTGTCGAGCAGCAATAAACAGAACTCTTAATCGCCACAAACAGAATCTGGCTCCATCTGCCCCAATCATCAAAGACAGGCATTTTGCAATTCCAACGGAGTATACTGATTTGTTTATTAGACAGTATACTATATTCAGGCATTTTGCAATTCCAACGAGTATACTGATTTGTTTATTAGACTTTATACTATAAGTATTCGAATTGGCGATTTCTACCCACCTTGAATTTATGCTCTACTCCCTGACAAAACAGAACAAACATATGCAAAATTCCTGAAAACTATTTATACTGTCTCGGATGATGCGCAGCCATCAAGGATTCTTATTGATTTTGAACGAGGCGGCGTCAATGCTTTCGCAAATGCATACCCAGAGTCTTCGATCAAAGCCTGTTACTTTCAACAATGCCAACCATTTTTACGGAAAATAAGCGAGCTCGGTTCGCAAAAAGTGTACGAAAATTTTTTTGAACTAAACCAGGCTCTACGTTTAATACCCGCATTAAGTTTTTTTCGAGCTGGTTTAGTCGAACAATCGTTTGAGAGCGTTATTGAGGAAATCAAGAATGTGGTTGGCCGTTTAGATCTTGAGCAATGTGTGGCAGATAAAATAGAAGAGATTGTTTCATACTTCCAGAGAAGTTACATTAAGAGAGAAATAATTGAACGAAACAGTTGGCAGCCCTTGTTTCCTCTAAGTCTCGGTAATTATTCGCAACAAACGCCGTTGAAGGCTGGCATCTCGGAGCGACCACGTCATTTCAAGGGAGCCACCAAAGCCTCTACCTTTTTCCACAGAAGATTAAACATTAAATTCACAAAATAAACATTTGAAGGCTATGGGGTCACGCAAAACCAGGGTCGGAAGAAATATCGCGATATTCATGCTAAAATCCAAAATATTTCTAGTAATTTTAACAACGTAATTTTATATGCACTTGCTCATTTAACTCTTTTGTAAATTTTAAAGTTTCGGCATAATTTTGTTCAACTTTTTGGCATTTTGTTGCATTTTTTATTGATTTTAAAAAAAATCATCACTTTTTTATTTTATAGCTACCGTAGGGAGCCCATTTTTGGGAGGTGATAGAGGCCAATATTTGCTCTTTCCCTCACCCCGCCCTTATACTGGGGTGCCCAGTATAAGGGGTTTTAGGGTGGGGCAGTATCTGCACTTTTTCGGTTTCATGTCTTCGAGTTAAAATTTTAGACTTCTTCGAGTTTCGAACTCATGATTTTTGACTCAGCGTAATGTGCACTAACATCTATGCAAAGTGAGCTTACAAAATCGGCAATCAATCTTTTGATATGGTTAACTTGACATGAAAATGCCGACATTTTGCTCTACGAGGATATGCAAGAATCTGGGGCAAGTTTAATTATTTACTATCTGGGACAAGATGACATAGGACAAGTTGTCTTGTGGGGCAAGTTGGTGTAGGACAAGATGGGCTGGGACAAGTTGACTCGGGCAAAATGACATGTAAACGCTATTAGATTAGTAGCCATAATTCTCTCGAATCCCATTTGTTTCTTCGAGAAGCAGCGGATAAGGGAGAAGGAAATGCCCCTCTCCCGACCACGTATTCAACTTACTCACTACCAAAAGGGTCCCTCCTTTGGAACTATTTTGCGTCATTCATTTTTACCTGTCCGATTCTAAATTGTTTAGACCGACCTTTGGCGTCAATTTATTCTAATTTTGAGAAAAGAACGCACCGAAACAATAACGCAGTTGGTTTGGTCAAACTCGTCCAAAAAGTACCAAAAATGCCGTTTTTGATGTGATTTTTTAAAACTTTGCCCGCGCCGCAGAAACGTTTTTCAAAATAATATCAATGTGATTTCTGCGAATTCGTGCCTGTCACTTTTGTCAGTCGTCAAACAGAGCCCATAGTTGTGAACAAAATGTTTTATTTGTGTCTCTCAGGAGACAACATGATGGACTTGTTGTGGTCTGACCCGATGAGGGATTACGGGGAGGAGAAGACGGCTGACCTGTATACTTCCAATGTGGCCAGACAGATATCGTACTACTACTCATACAAGGTTCAATCATCTCAGTTAAAATCCCCACCCCCTCCTCTCTCTCTCTCTTTTTCTTATTGAGGTCTGACTGAAGCCTTAATGAAATCAAACACAAATAGTTTTTGACAGAAAAGTGTCTCATTATCCATATTTCCGAAAAATTATTGATTGTCAATTTGCCAAAGAAGTAAAATTTTTTTTAGAAGTAACCGCCCTCCTGATTTCTATAGGCAGTGGCCAACTTCCTCTACCGCAATGGACTCATCTGTGTGGTGCGTGCTCACGAGGCGCAGGATGCTGGATTCAGGATGTACAAGCCCCTGCCCAAGTCCAAGTTCCCCTCCCTCATCACCATCTTCTCCGCCCCCAACTACTGCGAGACATATGGCAACAAGGCCGTCATCCTCTGCTACGAGAAGAAAAACATGAATTTGAAGGCGAGTTTTTGAATGATTTGGCATAGTGATTTCACATTGGCCCTGCGCAGGAAAGTTTTGGCGAGGGAAGGAGATGTTTTCGAAACTACTTGGCACACCACTTCGTATGATCTTAACACTTTTAAGCTGTGAGCAAACAAAGTTGCTTTTGCTCTAATTGATCGATGGAAAAATAGTTCAATGGAAAAATAGTTTTTTTATCTGTGTCCTTTTTATTACTCGATATTTGTGTTCAGACATTTCGATCGATGGAAAAATAGTTTTTTATCTGTGTCCTTTTTATTACTCGATATTTGTGTTCAGACATTTCTGGCACAGACGCACCCCTACTGGCTGCCCAGTTTCCAGAACGGACTCTGCTGGTCCCTCCCCTTCGCAGCCCGCATGATCACACAGCTACTGTTCGCGCTATGCCAAGTCTGCACTGTGGTAAGTCTACTCCAGTGTAGACAACCCGAGTCGAGATTTTGGTTCTTTCCAAAAGGGTGAGCGTAAGTTTCGGCTCATCGTGGGCTAAAAAAATTATTATTTTGAGATTGAAAAGCGGTGGTATGGGGTTGTTCTATAATTTGTTCATATGTATTTTCATCTAGTGAATGATGTGTCATTATATGTTGAATGGGACTTTGTGATATGGTTGGTCTAAAATTTTGATTATGTGTTATGGCTAAATTTCGAAAATTACGTGGGACTAGGGATAATGGATGGTTATGTGGTAGGGGTGGTAACTGTGGTGCTGTTGGCGTTGTGTCTACATTGTTATGTTCTTCGTCGTATGTGTTCTGTCTTGTTGCTATTTTTGTGTTATATTCTTTTATTTGTGCGTCTAAAAGAATTTTGTTTATAGATGTAGAAAAGATTCCAAAAAATCCTGCAAATAGTATGCGTGCTACACTTGCTTGTGTATTGACTTGTGTGTGTATAGCACATGTGTTATAGATTCCTTTTAAGAGTGAAAAAAGAAATCCAATAAAGTTAAACATTGCGTATAAAATAGTCAGTTTTTCTAAGATGTAGTAGGGCCATCCTAGAAAATCAAGAATCTCATTCTTGAGTGTAACAAAGCTAAAAATATTGATAGGTGATATATCTTGGGGACGGTATTTTTCACCGTTTAGATATATATAATCTTTAATGTCTTTAAAATATCCGCTATAGTCTTGCGTATAGATGTCTGCAAATCCTGCGGTTTCGGCAAGTTTGCGTAAGTTTTGGTCAATTGATTGTCTTTGTATTGTGTCCATTTGTGTTAATAATTCTTGGAATTGTTGTGTTCTAATGTGATGTTGAATATCTGATTTTGAGTATATTCCTATTGATTGTAAATCTATATTTGGGTTTCGAGCGATAGCGCGAATGCTTTCTGGTGAAAATTTTTTGAGTGATTGCATTAATGTGGGATATGGGGTGAGAAGGTAATATTTATCTTCATCAGGGTTTAGTTGTACTACATTGTGGCTATTCTCTGATCCACATGGGACTGCGGTATCCCAGAAATAGGTTCTTCGTGAAAGTGTGTCAACGAAATGTACTTTATTCTTATAAAAGATAGGGATTCTTTTATAGCATCGTTTATCTTCAAAAACGTATAGTGGTGATACTTTTTTAGTACAAGTATAAAACCATAAGATGTTTCCTTCATAGTCTAAGAAATTTGATCTATTTCCTGATAGTAAATATCCTGCGTAGGGTATTTTTAATACTGCTAGTGCAAGTGATTGTAATATTTGTGTTCTTTCCAATTCGCATAGTTGGTGTAGTGTTTCTAATTCAGAGAGTGACATTTCTTGAAAAATTCGGCTAATCGTGTAGTCTAGTTTCATATCTAAGTGAATATCATAGTGGATATTACCGAAATATGTACTATTCATTAGTGATAGTTCTTGTAAGCGTGTGCTTTGATCGTCTTGGGGCTTTAAATGTCCACCAGGTTGACCTGTATTCTTTTGAAAATTAACTGGTATATATGATGTTCCTTCATTTAGGGGATGACTTGTGGCGTATGGGTCGACTTTTATTTTTCCAGTGGTCATGTCGAATCCATTTTCGTATTCAACTAATATTTCGGAGTATTGTGTTTTGTGAAGTGGGTTTCTGTATTTACATGCAAGTTCTGTTTCTTGATATATTTGAAATCGTGTTAATTTGTTTTCTATATTATGAATGTTTCTAAAATTAGAACTTATTTTTCGTAATGGATTTACTTGTTCATATGGTATTGATTGTATAAAAAATTTTTCGTGAAATTTTATCATACGAGCGTGTATTTTTGCTTCTTGAAATGTTGTACATGTGTCTTCGGGGAACCAAACAATTTTTGCTTGTGTTCGTGTTGTAGGGTCGCAATAACCTTGGTCGTTTTTACAAGGTAATCTAATTCCTTGATAGATCATTGTGTTGTCTGATAAATCTCGTGTGAGTTGTATTTTTTCGAGTTGTATTTTCCAATCGAAAAACATGATCTCTTGGTATCCTTTGTTTTTTGTGTCTGCTTTGCAGTTTGATGGGTTATTTTTACCAATGTGTGGTATCCAGTGTTTATCGTGCATGTCATAGGTTAATCGTCCGTGTGCGCCGTTATATGGGTACTTTTCATCTAATTTTATATGTCCTTGATATCTTTCAAGTTCTGCTTGATGTACAGAATCTGAAAAAACTTGGAAATATACTAACTTTCTATCTGTGTTTTTATTTTTTGTGATGTTTAGTCGGAGTAACTCGTTTTTACAATCTTCGGGATTGAGATGTAAAAGTCGTTCTATATTACTCTGGTAGAATGATTCATGGTCAAGTCGGTTTTTATTTCCGTTTGAGACTTGTGAACAATGTACTTTCTTTTCAGAAAATGTTGCTGTGAATTTATATCCTATAACTATAGTTGCTCGGGCTTTTGAATAAAGTGTTGCTTTTACATTTGTAGTTTCTATGGCTTGGGGTTCTGTTTCGCATTGTGATACTTGATTTATTGCATACTTGTGTAGTGTTTTTTGTTCGTTTTCTTCACAATCGTAATGTGTTACTAATAAATCTTGGGGTCCTGTGCGGGGAGAAGGGTTTATGTTTTGATTTGAGATTACTAGAAAAAGGAGTTGGAGAAAAATTAATAATTTTAAAATATACATGTGTATGATAATCCTGAGTATGGGTTATAAAATGTGATGTAACCAATTGTCTTTTTGGTATATCTGTCGTATTTATATATTACTTCAGTGGTTATAAATGGTGGTGGTAGTGATTGAGCTGTTATGTTTGGTGGATTTAATGGGTAGGGATGTTGAGTAATGTTGTTTAATTTAACTGTGATTTCAAACTTTAATTGTAAACTGTTTTGTTGGAGTATTTGGATATTGTAATCACGGATATCGTCGTGAATGTCTTGTCGGTATTGTAATCTATTAAGTGCCTAGTTGTGAAGGCGATTACTTTCTAGATGTTGTCCAAATAATGGTGGAGGTGCTGTAAATGTATTCCAATCTAGTCTTAAAGGGATATTTGTTGATGATTGTTCTCGATATCTAGCGTCGAGGTTATTTGGGAAATTTAAGTTAAAAGGTGGTGGTGAAATCTGGCTTATTGATGGTGTTGATGGTAGTGATAATGTTTCTGGTAGTGATGAGGATGTTGTTGTATCCGTAGAAATATCTATTGGATCATTGACTAAATTTAGTTCACCTTGTGTAAATGAATGTGTTGTCCAATATGGTAGTCGTGATGCCTGGTTTGGGGGGTTAAAGGGATTTTCACGTATTTGTTCAGATGTTGGTGTTGAACCTAAGTAATCTGATGGTAGGCTTGAGGTGCTACGTTGTGAAAGAAGCGTAGGGGTTTCTGGTAATATACCAATGGGGTTTTCTGGAGTGTTTTGTGATGGGGATTGAGGTATATCAAAATGAACTCGTGGTGTTTGAAAATTTCTGTTTCGTCGAGGATGTATAATTTGTCTATTTATTTCGACTGTATTTTGGTTTTGACTAGGATTTCTTATTCTACTTAATTCTTGTGGTAGTGTTGGGTATAAGTTATATGTTGGTTCACTCAAAGGTGCTTGTCGTTGAACTGGTTCTAGTGGTTCAGATAAACGAGCGTGTCGTTCTTCAAAAGTGTATGGGTTATCTTGAAAGGAAATTCGTGTAGATGTTTGAGGATTTTGGGTAGTTGAAGGTGTTGTTGGGTTATCTTGGGATGATGTCGGTGAAGACTGACTTTGTGACTGTTGGGTAGCAATTTTTGATAGCTTTTTGGTCTATTCTTTTAGTGAAAAAGTTTATGTTTATTATAGTATTCTTCTAAGAAAAGAATTAGGAGGATTGTTGCTAGAGCGAATGTGATGATTGCTTTCTTTATACATTTGCATATGGTCAAAATGAGGGATGATAGAAATGTTATGAAAATTACAAATAGTAGAAAAATATCAGTTCTACTGAAAACAGTTCGTATCATTTAGACAAGTTGTATAAATCGTACCTGTGGATATAATCAAGGGTTTTGGAAAGTTGGAGAAATAGTTCGAATATAGTGTAGAAAATTAAAAAAATATTACAAAAAATTATTAAGATTATTAGAAAAGATTCAAGGATATCAAAAAGAAATATTATGAAAGTTTCAAGTATCGTAAAAAATTGTTTGAGGTTTGTGATAATTTTAGTGACTATTTGATAGAAGAGCATTTAGGAAATGACTTCGTGATCGAATATTTTTTGTTGTTTGGGGCAATTTTCAAGTGTGGTCGGATTATTTATTAGTTTTTTGACAAGTGGGTTGAGTTTTGTAAAAAATTGTTGGGGGCAATTTTTATGGTGATCGGGAGGTCTTCTTTGTCTTTCTTTTCATTTGTCAAATGATCTGGGGTATTTTTGAGATTTTTATACTTTAGGCTAAATAAAATGGTCGTTCTTTTACTTTAGGCTAATTTAACATATTTGTTTTGGGGATATTTGAGGTCTGAGTTGGGGAAATATTGTTGATCTTTGGTTTATTAGATAAAGGAGGGTTATGATATTATGGTGATATTTATTTTAGTTGTCAAGTTGGAGTGGTTTGCTTATTTTTGACCTGGAGGTCGTAGAGTTATAGTTATAGATATGCCTGGAGTTTAATATTTTTCGTCTAGTTGGTTTGTGTTAAAGTTATAGAAGGTGACGGATTGGATGAATCCTATTGGCTAATTTTGAACTAGAATCGCTGCGTGTTTGTCAGCATGTTATCTTGAAAAGTGAAAGTGTAAAATGTTTCAGAGGTGCAAAGATTATTAAATGTAGAATTAAAGTTGTTTTTGAAATTCAACTTTCTTTAATATTTTAGATTGTGGGATGAATAATTTATAATTTTTACGTGGTTGATTTCTAAGTCGTGAAGACTCTCTATGTTCTGATTTGTCGATTTGTTCTTGGGGTATTATTTGTTCTGTCATTTTTGTATTTTTTCTTTCT